AACTAACATTAAGTCAAGTTGATCGTGGCGGACGGGGGGGGGGGGTGCCGGTGGTTTTACAACGTAATATTTTATTAACGCTAACGATACAAAAGTATAAATATTTACATACATGCGTCTCATAGCTTTCTAGAGCGTTTCCTAACTATTCCAGTCAAATGATAGACGACCCGCGAATCGAGACCTAATACATCGTCACCGACTACTTTCTCAAATACTGTATATCTTTTTTTCTTGGAACGTGAACAGAATGAAAGGCAAAATTGGAAGAAGACGATCTAGGAACCCTAAGTGTACCTCTTCGATGATCGATCGATTACCTCATCGTCCGCTCATGTTTCTTCCGTCGCGAAATGTAACGGCGTTTCGAGACTCTATCGCATAAGTACCGGGCCTGTAGCTCAGAAATTCTTGATGCCATCAACCTTCAAGGACACTTCCTCGTCAGCCTGCACGACGATCCAGTTGCCGCTGGCGTTTAAGCTGTGGATGTTGATGCCTTTCGACGAGAATTCGTTCACGATCTGCGCCATGTCCTCGACCCTGTTCGTCTGGTACAGGGCGACGTAGTTCGCCAGAGAGATTCCGCCGGGGAACATCGCATCGTCCAGAGACAGCAACAGCAGTTCGTTGTTGCGAACAGTTCCTGTAAAAGTAATTTCGCGATTATTAGAAAAGTTTGGAGTTAGTTTGACCGAGTTTGGAACACCAGGGTAGCTAAGTCTAGTGAACCTACTGCCGACTATTTCAGGACTAACAAGCAGGCGAATAAATGTCATTGGGCCGTGGTTAGAGGACTGAAGATACCTTTAAGCGTGTGGCCCGCGATGTCAATGGAAATAGCCTGGGTCCCAGCCTCCCGATGGCCCGCTTTCACGTCGACGCCTTTGTCCTGAGCCAACATTGGAGCATTGATCAGGTTCAAGCCATTCTTGGTCTGCGTGGACAGGACACCGACCAAGATAGCAGTGTGGATGAACGCCTTCTCCTTCATCCCATTGCCCACTGTCTCGCTCTTCAACACCAACTTGTCCTTGTCCTTGGACAGCCGGGCAGCCAGCTGACCCAGTTTCTTCGACAAGTCTATCCACGGCGCGTTCTCCTTCATCATGGCGCCGGACATCATAGGAGCGTTCACTATGCCTGTGACCGCGTACTCGGTGGACTTGCCGGCCAACACTATGAACTGTTCGGCTATCTCAACGGCCACCCGCTCTTGGGCCTCGGTAGTGCTTGCTCCTGCAAAGTTCGACAACGTTTAGCTCCGGGCCTAGATTCATTTAGGACCAGTTTTAGACTGAGACCTATTCGAGTCCACTTATAGACCCAGATGAGTTATCCTGACGAAGGACAGGGTTAATCATTGCGCCCTAAATTGAAGGTCGCCTTCCTTACCAAGATGCGGAGTAGCGACGACCTTCGGATGGGCGATCAGCTTCAAGGTGACGGGGTTCTTGGGCGGTTCCTCGACGAAGACGTCCAAAGCAGCACCGCCGCAGTGGCCGGCCTCGATGGACTCGAGGAGCGCCTCTTCATCGATGATGCCTCCACGGGCCACGTTCACAACGCGCACACCCTTCTTGCATTTCGCCAATGTTGCTGCATTGATCAGATCTACAAAAACGACGGCTTAGCTCGCTGCCTAGCCTTCAACAATTTCCAAAAACGACCTACTTCTGGTTTGAGGAATGAGGGGCGTGTGCACGGTGATGTAGTCCGCTTGGGGCCATATCTCGTCCAGACTGAGCTTCTCCACTTGCAACTGCGCCGCGTCTTCAACAGTGAGCACGGGATCAAACGCGATCACGCGCATCCCGAAGGCCTGCATCCTGCGGGCCACTTCGCGACCGATTCGGCCCATGCCCAGGACAGCCAGGGTCTTGCCGGACAGCTCCGACCCGGAGTACAGTTTCCTGTCCCATCGTCCCTCCTTTAGGGCCCCGGCTGCTTGGGCCACGTTTCGCGCCAAAGCGGAGATCAACGCGCAAGTTAGCTCGCAGGCACTGATGCTGTTTCCTCCTGGGGTGCTGGAACATATTCGGCCGGTTAAGCCGCGCGTCCGGAGGCCTGGCAACAGCCCTGGGGACGTCCCCGAGGGCAAATCGCGAAGGCCATTCTCCTCGGAGGACCAATGAAGCTGCTATTATTCTGTGAGAGTTGCCAAGGGACCTGGTCTTACAGCTCTTAGCTCTGTCGGCTGTCTATGTTTCAACTATAGCAAATGCTCGGTAGGATTTTTCAAGTTAATCTCTTTTCTAGGTTTTGTGCTTCTCAAAGCGATGGGGCAATTTCGACCGATAAAAGAATTGTCGCATTCAAGAAACCGTCTAAGGAAGAAGATAGATAATGGAGTCTCGAGCGACCAGGCAGCACTTGGACGGGAATTGTAAACAGGATTTACTTTAGGACCACCACTCCGTGCTTCGTCGCAGCTTGTAGATCGATGTTGTCCACCCCTGTCCCAGCACGGCCGACCACTCTCAGTTTAGGACAGCTCTCGAACACGTCGCTGGTCACTTTTGTTTCCGATCGGACGATCAGAGCGTCGTGGTTCTACGGCAATCAGGGAAAAATCGATGGTACTTGCCGATTAAATAAAAAAAAGACAAAACAGGTGTACGCGTACTGGAGAAAAAAATTCGGCGAAAACGACGGTTTCCGAGAAACTGGCATGTTTAAAAGGCTTGCCAGCAATGCGGTAGTCGATAGCACGTGCTTATCAGCGGTGAGATACGTACACAGATCGTGTAATACGCGGGTCGACGGAGGGGCTGGGGGGGAAGCGTTCAAACTGATTGATAAGTACAACGACCCGTATTCTCTCTGGTAACCGGTATTCGCGTTCGCCGAGCGAACCGGCTGAAACCGGTTCGATCGCTCGAATGCGACCAATTAAGTGATAGCCACGGGGGAAAGGGGAGAGAAGGGCTGTAGGCCAGTTGGAAAGTCCGTCTGCGATCCAGACACCGGATATCGGTGAATTGTTAACGTTCCCCGAGCTGCAACAGGATAGCGAATCCCTAAAATCGACCCGGCCAAAACATTTTCGGCAATTCGACCGTTGTATATTATTACATCGTTGAAATTTTCCGATTGCCCCGTAATCGTTTTTTTCCACCGATTTCTACGGCTTCGAAAATTTCGCGTCGACCGGCGTAGTATATCATCGCGGGCCTCGCGCGACCATTGAAATAATGAACATTTTAATTTAATAAAACATCGATACGTTCGAACGCGGAATTCGGTTTGTTCCTCGGTCACCGGCATTTCTGTCAGCGTAATCTTTCGATTACGAACGACAAATGAAATTGACGTAGCATGAAATTAACGGAGAAGCGTTTCACGGGCCAGCAGCCCCGAATTTTCGACTTGACGAATGCGAAACGGTATTTCCGTGGGTGGACCGGACGAGTTTCGGGGAAAATTCACGCGGGCCTGGTTTACCTGGAGCTCTTTGATCAGCTCTTCTTTCGACAGCTTGCTTTTGGCAGTGACCGGGACCCCGTGGCGAGCCAGCAGCTCGCCGCAGCAAGCGTCCACGGCGTCGCTGATGAGAACGCTCCCGATTCTGGCCGACATGATATCCTTGAACAGAATCAACAACCGTCTCAAAATGTTTACGGCGATTCCATCCGGTAAACAGAGCAGATCCCACATAGGATCGTCTACCACTGTAACGTTCTCCACAGACGATAAATATCGGCAATACGCGCGGGGCACGCCGGACTATTTGGCCACGGAAGCTGACCGAAATGTGTTTGCTCATTTTCGTGGGAACGAAGAGATTTGACGAATGGAACGATCACGTTATTTATTACAAAGAATGCACAAGATACAAAAATTACGAACGAGTTCCTTAACGTCTGTAAATATCTATGCTTGCTTAGATTATTTCCCTCGAATTTGTTATTACGCGTTGCAATGAATCAGTTTTTTTAGAATATTGTTTTACATTCGTTCGACTATCTCGGAGAACAAAAATTGAATGCTTCACACAAAATTGATTGAATCGCCTCTTGGCCAGATTACGACGATTCAAAATCACCGGATTGGACCTTGAAACGTTGTTGTCGGTGGCGGTCGCTAGCTATGAGTGGGTCGCTTTCGACCCAGGCTATTCCCCAGAGCATAAAAGTACATAAAATCTGTTCCAAAAAAATCCATAAATTGTGAAATCAAGCTCGTCGATGTCCTATCTTCTTTGGACATTTTTCAAACGTGCCTAAATGTTTATTATTCCGCGAGAAAATATACCGTCGTACTCCGGAGAACCTGCCCGACAATTTTACGCACGATTCGTAGCCGTAGCCGTCACGGTTACGGCCCGTGCAAGTTGTCGAATTTGCAAACGCGTCGAAGAGAACAAGCACGTTTCAAAAAATCTGGCTTTTCTGTTGCGCGAAATAGAGTCGGTCGCTAGGCGAACGTAATTAATCTCGTAATCGGTTACGTAAGTCGGAAAACTGCGTGCACGGAGAGAACGGTCGGCTGTGGCAATTGATACGGTTGTACCGTGGACATACCTCGTGCGAGAACGTGTGATGCGGTTACACGCGACGATCCCAGGGAACGATCTCGGAGTTCGGTGTCTATCCTCGACTCAACGGTGGACTGTCTTCGCCTCGTTGCCGATTAATCTTCTTATAGCTGTGCCCCCCACTGCTCGCGGCAAATCGGACCCGGGACGGCGGCCTGCCGATAGAAACCAGCCTCGCGAATTTTAGAAAATCGTTGCGCCGTCCGCGATCTAGTTCAAACCGTCTGGGGAGAATTCGCGAGATCATCTCGCTGATCGATCCTCAACCTAGATCGTTTCATGAATTCTTTAAAGAAATCTCTTCACCGGGCCAGGTGAAACGAGCAAAACACATGGAAATTATCGGATAATATACGGCTGTGCGTTAATTTTCTTCGAAAGCCGAAATCGTTCGCGGCGATTTCCTCGAGGACGAATCCTTTCTCGCAAAATTTTTGGGTCTAGCGGAGACGCTGGACGCCACCGAGGGATTAGAAACGACACCTGACGGAACCTAAGCGAAACTCCTAGTCAAGGAATGATCGATATCGATCGTGAACTTGGTATCTGATAACGTCCTCCAGTCTATTTCTAGACGGAACGATCGGTAAACAATGTTCCGAGCATTGCGAGCAAACAATTTCATTGTTTCAATAATATTTTCCTGCAGCATGTGTCTTCAACAAATGGCGCAATTTTGCTAAAGAAAACATGTTTCGTTGAATATCGAATTGGTACAGTTTAAAAAAATTCATTTGTTATCTGTAACACGAGGTAATTAAAGAAATTCCGCAATAAACCGATCGCAGTATGCGAAATCATTGTATTTTCCACTCGCGGGTCACGCGGGTGACGCAACGTTCCGCTGGGGGTCCAATTTAGCAACAACAATAATCGTCATATCGTTATCAAGCCTGTCTGCCTTCGTCTCACGGTTATTTCTCTCTCGCCGGCCGTGATAACGTCTTCCATTTGCTCGCACGAACTTTGCACGCGCTTTAAAACGTGTCGTCAGATCGGAACCGATTAGGATCCTCGGCTGCTCGAGCATACAGAGTCTCAGGCTTTCGCGTGTTTCTACCCCCAGCGGATCGTGTTATCGTGCTCGCGTGGAAAATAACTTTATCGGGCCGAGAACGCTGTTGTTTTTTCCGCGACGGTAATCTATTTCTGCTAAGTCCATTCGCGAATGTTGCGTCTGCACCAATTATCCTCCGTTTTTCGAAACGCTTGTTCGCCGGCGAATAATTTGAGTCGCTGGGAGACCGAACTGACTTTGAATTGAGAGACTTGGAGACCTTTTTTTATGGAGAATGATAAACCATTGCGGCTGAATTTATTTACAAATGCTGCTGTCGATGATCGTGCAACATTTAACAAATTTTAAGCCACTCTTGCAAGATCAGCCAATCCGGAGG